CCCAACTCCGGGGACTTCCGGCCAGGGACTTCGGGTGGCAGTATACGCCGTGAAGTTGTTTGCTGCCTGCCAGTAAACCCAAAGCAGAAGAAGACGAAGTGACGTCAGCGGCTCATTTACGTAATCTTCCCTCAGGGAAAAGTACTCCGGTGTGAACGCGATCTGTACTAAATGCCCTGGGGTCATAAGTGCCGGGGCTCTGAGTGCCGGCACTAAATACGGCAAAGTACTTGGTGTGAACGCGGCTATTAGACTAAGCTGAGAACGTCTGTAATGGCTGCTTAAGGAAAACGCAAATTCACATGCTCTATGGGCCCAGTGGATACGGAAGATCGCTAGAATATCCCTGGAAAATCCCAGGATTTTTGTTATTGAGAATAAGGCCATTTTGGCTTCATGCGTCATTGGGGAACTTTCATGAGAATGAACGGACCGCCTCCAACGCTGTATCCAGTTCTCTTTATACATCCTCGTGAGATGTAGCCACTGACAACTTAAGTTCACTAGGTGAACAAAGAGTCAGCATTCCTCTTGGGATCATTAATGCTTCATTTAATATTTATAGTTTCCTCCCTTTAATACACCACTATTTCATACAGCTCGTGTTCACCCCCCCCCCCCCCCCTTCCACATTATGTACATACAATTTGGTTTCATAACTCCAGGCCCTTTCCTCCCTCATATTACTGTCTTTAGGAAAAGGAAACCCAGCAGGGAGTAGCATCCTGCGGGAGGGCAGGGTCAGGAACAGACTGGGGCGGTTAATGGATACACTGAGTCACAGGAATATTCCCTCTACATCGCTCACTTCCAGGAAAAGGATACTAGTATCTGAAAATAAAATGATGAAGCTGAATCATAACGAAACTTTGACAACAATTTTAATAAGTGTATATACAGAGAATTGATAAGTGATTAATATTCCCAAACCCTTATGGGATAGTTTAGCATTTTGGGGAATGAACTTAGTTATTTTTCTTTCCAAGAGTGAGTTCAGAAGATTTGTTATCAATCTCATGTCTGTGTTCTATAGGGGAAGCATGTTGATTCTACAGAATAAAGTGTGTTTACAACTGTTGCAAAATGCTACTGCATATGTTAAAAAATGGCTTGAAGCTTGTTCAAGTTCCGGCTGCACAAACGGTGATAATCTGTTTCAAGTGGGAGTGGGGAGTTAGAAAGATGTTACTTCACGAGACCTATGTACCAAGTTATTAACACCTTGCATCTTTAAACTTGGACATTTAAATAGAGGTTTTTTAATGAAATCCTCTTTAATCGTCAGACACATGTAGAAAACACCACTCGCGCAGTATTTAGCAGTTTGGGGGTCTGGTGTCTTACTGGTGTGAACTGGCACCTGTCAAAAGACCAGTTTACTCTCCATACCTGGTCCGGTCTGGGACTTGAACCAGCGACCTCCCGGTTCCCAAGTCTAGTTCCTACATAACGCGCTACAGCCGTCCTGCCTACTGTATTTATCTTCTATCTAAATTCTAAACAATAAGAAGTGAATAAAAGTTACATAAACAATTTATTGATGAACCCCAGTGTAAACAAAGCCTCAGGAATCCTGCTGTAAGAGTCACCATCAACATGCAGATAGATAACAACATATTTCAGTACAATAATGTTCTGTATATCACATATCTGGTCCCATTCCTTATAAAACCTATTTTCTGCCGAAATGAGTTATGTTCTAGTTCCGTGCTGGAGCTTATTTGATTCACAGTTTTTCCACCAACCAGTGCCCAAGAGGAGCTATGTCATGCCGTAACAGGTTACATCACTGCTTTTCTCAGCAACGCCAATGCGGTCTAGCAACTTTTTGCCACTTCATCTTGATGCTACTAATTATGCTACGACTTTCTACTGTTGCGATAAACTGTTGTTGCTCCAGTGTTGGTTCTCCAGTGGTACCAGTTTTTGTGGCAAAATCCAACAACGCTAACTAACTACACAACCAAATGCCACTAACATGGTTATATAAGGTAGCTGACTTAAACCCAACAACTCTAACAGTCGTGGTAGGAAAAGGATAGTGAAATTGAATGTGACTCCCAGGGACGCGGGAAGTCAGTCAGAGTTGGGGGTGCGGGTGCATTAGCGGGGGGAGGCTAGTGGAGCCTACACTGTAAGTGCGCCGCATTTGCGCTTCAGATGAGGCTCCCTCCGCAAAATGAGGCCCCATCCGCGAGGTGAGGCCCCCCGCAGTCTGCGTGATCTGCGTGTAGGGAGGGGCGGCCCTGTATAATAACGTCATATTAAATGCAGTCATTTGGTCTTTAGCAACAGCTTCTGAGAGCAACGCATTCATCGGTGTTCGTTTTAATGCTGCCAGTTTGTTGACGGCCTGTGTGTTGATGGGATTTCTCATGCTCCCTAAATGTTTCCTCTGCCTTTCACCAGTTGTTAAACCCTGCTTTCACAAAACTCCCATCCCTGATCTTGCCTGCACTATTTGTTTCGTGAACTTTTTGGCGTTGCAGTTACAACTCTCAGCCAACAGATGGGGGTACTGCAGCCCCCTCAGCACCCCCCCTTCCCTCGTCCATGGTGACTCCTCACTGTAAACACAAGCTCTATTTGCTCCTGTTAAACTGAAATGGAGGGAGTAGGGCTATTTATTCCAATGTTTTGAAACCACTCTATAGGGTATGACACTATGCAGAGAAGTAAAGCTACAAAATCCATACTCAAGAAAAGGAAACAACCAATGCAAAAAGCTGATGTGGATATAAAATATTCACACTGTAGCTGCCAACATGTCTTGCTGCGTTATAACATATTCTACTTATATTCAATGTTATAATTTGAAATGCCAAATATACAACTATAAGTGAGTATTTTCCCAAAGTGTGTATTCTTACATAACGATGATAAGGAAGAACCACGGAAAATATTTTTCATTTTGGCAGTTCCTTAAAATGGAACATGCTGATGATTTGACATGCTCTGCAATATGAATTATCAATTTGTCAATGCTCTTTTCTATTGTTTTTGATTTATGCATACATGTTCCACCTGCCAGGAAACTAATACTGTAGTTTATATTCATTTGAGCACAGAGTAAACAAAACAAACAACAGATGATGAGAGCATTGTCTTTTGTCATGAATATTAGTAATGCAAGTTGCAAAAGTTTTATAATCCCAACATTTAAATCAAGAAAAGCCGGATGGATCCACACTTAATCCAACTACATTGTTTGCCTTAAAGTCCTCTCATTGTGGAATCCAACTATCAAGCAAAACGATCGCTTAAATGGTCAGCTAAAATAATGGCAACCATGTGATTATGTAATAATTGACAACAATAACCATATTTCCCCCAGATCCTGATCTCTGGATTGTACTAACTGCAAATACATTTTACGAAATAAAACGTTACAATTACAAATCCATATTTCATAAACATTTAGACGTAGCTTAAAACGGTCTTTAAGTAGCATAATTAGATCACATAAAATCTGATGCCGATATAAATAAAGCAAAAGTTTGGCAGTTAAGTTTATTGTGTCACTGACCACTTCAACTTTATTCTAGAATCTATGTTTAGTGTGTAATGCTGCGCTGACTTCCTGTTTACATTGACATACAGATGTTTCCTGGCAAACCATTTAAGCTGATTCAGTAAATAACTAGTTTCAAATCAGCTGCTGGTTACTAAGAAAGTAGGAAGGACATCACACACCAACTTAGTGATACATTTACAGCCCAGACCTTAAGAGCCAGGCTATGACAGAGACCGCCTTTATTACTAATTTCCTCTTTCTCCATTCTTTATAAAGAATCCTGCTGAGTTTAGCTGATTTTGTCAATAAACTCAACACTTCCTCCTTCCTCCATTTGTACTTGCTGTCATGGTTACTTCATCATAATACTAATTTCTACAGCATGAATCTCATTTGGAGAACTTTGTTTTACATGGCATTAACCATGGCCTTTGCCTTCTGTCTTGACCATTGTCATTCATACAGTCACAGTGTTAATAATTGAACATAAAACGGGATAACTCATGGGGAGAACGGGGAGGGGTCACAAAATGTGTCGTACATTTTATTTTTAGCATTAAAATGTGTCATTGATGAGACAAGGGAGGCATTATGTAACAAAAGCTGTATAGAAACTTATAAAACATTGTTGTCTTCTTTTGTGTGTGACTAAAGTGAACTTTACAATTAAAAGCAACAAAAAAAATGAAAATTACAAGTTACATCAATGTAATTGTTTCCTTTGTCGATACTGGCTGTTAGGTTATTGTAATGCAAGTATGGATACATTTTCAGAACAAACATTTAGCGTCGGCAGTCTGTATAAGACAGATCTAATGTGGATTTCTCAATGATTGTTTTACAAAGAATGTAATATTCGAAAAAAACAGACTAGAGCCTCATATTAGCTCCAGCTGAACTTTATTGTATATGGATATTAATTGTTTATTGCACCAACACCAAACCTCTTGATCCCTTCACAGTCAGTTTGGACAACAGGAACAACAATTAAGAACTGTATGTCATGTCAGAAGTTATAAGACTCATCAAAAAATATAATCATAGCCTCAGTTTAATACATATGTACAGACTATTCCACAAACTTATCAAAAATGGATATAGATATGGAAACCCAGCCTGACTAAACCCTTATGTGTTGTGGCATATTCACACTGGCATAGTGATTTAAGGAGGAGTGACCAAAAGTATTTGTTTATTTGTAGAATTAACTCTCACTGACCAATTCAATCAAGTCAAGAAAAGTTCTAGAAAAATACATTTGAGGCTGAGAGTGATGTTCAGGAAGGGACCTCCATTGAATCACATGACTTTGACAAACATATTAGGTTCAAAATAAGTGACAGAAGTTTTTGTTGTTAGGGTATTTGATGTGAATTCTCCATCCATCAACTCCGTAATAAGTGACAAACCTGTTAACCAGCGACGGACAAACAGAGAGTTAATGATTAGAGTTAAGCTGGTCTGACTGAGCTGCACCGCTTCATACCTCCATATCCACTGTACATGGTGCCGTGGTGGTGGTCGTAGTCAAGTGTTTCTAGCGAGGGGTCCACCCAGTTCCAGAAACAACCTCCCAGTCCTTACTCCAAGTGGACTCCTAGTTGGTAAACTTTCCTTTTGCTTTTAGCCACTCACTATTCTGGGCATTCGGTTCACTTTTCTTTCTTTCCCGATCTATTTCCCTTTTTCTCTTTCCCCATATCCACTGTCACAGTTGCTAATCCTTCGTCCACTCACCTACTGATCCTCTCTCTCTCTGACACAATGATAAGAGGAGGGGGGAGGAGGAGGAAAAGGAAAAAGCAAGGCGGTCCTCCCTCCATTTCTTCCCCACTGACATCACCGGTTTTTCCTGCCCCTCCTCCATGCTGGACATATTGTTTCGGACCACACACACACAACATCCTCCCGCCACTCTACAACATCCATCTGTACTAACATTGAGCGGCATCACTGCATGTGCACTGCACTGAACTCATTTGTGCTGCTTTAAATAGTTTGGATGAATTAATGACACATTATTTATGAGGAAGAACCTCGGGGGAATGGAAAACTTAGTGTGCTAATTTTGTGCTGACACAGATAAAGTAAAGTGATGACCAATTAAGAGGGTGTTGTTCTGGGTAATAGTGAACAAAATAAGGTTTTACAGTGGTGAATCTGGCTCAAGAAAAGCACAATGCAACCTTCATCAAGAAACCCACAGTGCACGCCAATTAAACGCATTGAACTTAAACATTTTGTAACATTTTGTAAGTCAAGATATAGTCAGGGATGTTCTTTAGATTCCGCTACTCTCCGATGCACTTCGATCATTTTATGCAACTAATTGTTGGTGTTGCCTTAAAGGTTGCACTCGGTTCCCTCCATACCATGTTTGGCACAATGCTAATATCTGCCAAATTTGAAGAAATTCCCTCAAGACGTTCCTGAGATATCACTTACACAAGAATGGGACAAATGTGAGGCCACAGTGAACTTGACCTGTGATCTTCTTCCAACCCTTTTCTCCTTGAGTCCAAATGGACGTTTGTGCCAAGTAAGAAGAAATTCCCTCCAGTTCCTGAAATATCTAATTTACAAGAATGGTCAATCTGCCTCTAAAAGGCTAATCATGTGTGTCGTTCTTTTAGATAACATTCTACCTACGGCTGTGCCTCTCCTTAAAGGTCCCATGTCATGCTTTTCCGGTTATTACCCGTCCCCTTGTGTGTTATGTAGCTTTTTATGCATGTAAACGGTCTGCAGAGTCACAAACCCACAAAGTACACCCTGTAGCGAGTAAAACTCTAACACAGAAAATACCTGTCTATGCTGCCCCAGAACGCCTCGTTGGAGATTTGTCTTTTTCCATTGTTTTCTTCTTATAGTGTAGTAAGTACAGTGACGTATTGGGTATAGTGACGTAACGTGACGGACTTCCTCACACACACACACACTCAATCTTTTCTCAGCTGCAGCTCCGCGGATTTCTCAGCCTGAACTCAGCCTGAACTCAGCCTGAGACGGCGAGACGCGGCGGGGCTCGGTCTGGGCTCGTTCTGAGCACACATGCAGACTCACAGCCAGGCTGCAGGTGTGTGTGTGTGTGCTCGGGCTGGATTCAGGCTGGGTTTTGCTGTGTCTCGCTGTCTCCCAGATCCCCCGCAGCAAGCCAGCTCACACTGTCCGCTCCAGCAGCGAGCCCTGCAACGTCCCGCCAACACGGCACCCAGACCCCACGCAGCATTCTCATCTGTTTGTCATTGCTGGTGTCATTTTCTGGTTGCTAACGCCATTGTAACACATAATCACTGATGTTCAGCTAGCTGGTTGACTAATCAGAACAGAGTGGGCGAGCTGACCAATCAGAGCACACTGGGCTCATAGGGAGGGGGGGGCAGGAGCTCCAACATGCCGTTTAGGACAGAGAGTGAATACACATACTATACAGAGATGCTGTAAGAGAAACCAATGTGAGTTTGGAAAATTGCACAATATAAATCTATTCTAGTAGACCTCAACAATGGAATTATGATCAGTAGAAATGGCCATGATATGGGACCTTTAAGAGATGGGATACCACAATAGAGAGGCGAAGTCTCTCCCTTTCCGGTGGACCTCAAGGGACCTTATTTCGGAAAAATTATGTATTGAAGTCAATGGCGAGAGAAAAGTTATCTTTCGATCCCGGTTTAATTGTGCCATGAATTACACATATGACGTTTGTCAATCTTAAAAAATCATTTCCATGTCAAAAAAGTCACAGTTTGTCGTAAAACTGTTGAAATATAAGACTATGAAAAATATGCAACTAGAAAGACTACAAATCCCAGAGTCGCGTAAGTGATGTCATAATTGTTTTCCTCCACTAAATATAAGAGATAGCTAAGATAAGATAACTTTAACAAGATGCCTGTGTGCTTAGTACCAGGTTGTAATCATACCAGCAATGGGTCTTGCTCGTTCTTTTGCTTCCCGTCTGATGAAAGGACCAGGAGTGGCTGGATCAAGTTAGCTAACTAGCTAGTAGCAAGCACGTTAGTTAGCATTACAGCCTTAGCCTTGTCATTTTTATTAGCCTTAACATGAAGTAACATTAAGTAACCCAAAATGTTAAACAGTAAGAGTAGTAGTCATATTTCGTGAACCCTTTGAAGAGTACTGTCACACCGGTGTGATCATTCTATAATACACCATTTAAGCCCGGATGCCCCTGGGGGAGACATGCTAACGCTAACGTTACATTAGCATCGCCGATCTTTTCTACTTCATGCTATCTGCACAAATGATTAACATTGAACATTAAAAAGATCAGACAGTTCAGGGAGAATCGAAGGAAGGCAGGCAGGCAGCTTTGCATGACATTCTTCTGGACGTGTTTCATTGTGGTGATAGTGAGGGTAGTCAATCCCTTTTTTGGCAAGACAGTAGTGACGGCCATCTTGGTGACGTGTGTTGTTGTGCGAGACCAGAGATGTTTTTTTTTAACTTGCAAAATCATCTTTTAAATTGACAAACATCATACGTGTAATTCGTGGCACAATTCAAACGGGATCGAAAGATAACTTTTCTCTCGCCATTGACTACAATACATAATTTTTCCGAAATAAGGTCCCATGGAGTTCCACCGGAAAGGGAGGGACTTCGCCTCTCTATGGGGTCTTATCCAAGCCCAAAGGAAGTGAGCCGTAGAAGCACATTTTCGTGATGAAATGGTGGTACTACATCTTCCGTGTCAGTCCGTGACATAATTTAGCCCAAAAATACTTTCTCCCATTGCCTTACATCCGTATAGAGACGTCTGTTAATCAGTAGATTTTACTTTTTTTATAGCTAAATTGAATACCTAGTACGAACACTTGAATAGCCCTTATTTAAATCATTAGGGCATAAAAGTTGTAAAATGCACTTAAAGCTTGTTATTTACCCTCTCTAATAATTTGATTGAGCCGAAAAACGGTCATGCCACTGCTGTGTCATAGAGGATGGGAGGTGGCGCTTAAGGAAAACCCAGTTACATTAGATAATGGCCATCAATAAGAGATTGTTTCATTTCCTTTATATTTTGACAAGACAGAAAGGAAGCCAGCTGCAGTGGCGCTGCCATGCAGTCTGTGTGGCCGCTCTAACCTGTTAACATGTGGGCCAAAATAATAAAGCAAGAGGTCCGAGACCCAGTTTGGCCCCTTCAGTATAAGTCTGTCTGAAGTCCCTGATGAGGACTTCAAGCCTCTGTTTGATATGTACTATACATGAGAACAGATGTGCATTATCTGCATAACTAAAAGTCCAATAGTTCACAATTCAGTGAGATGCCTTTCTACTAATCCACCTGTGAAGTTAAATAAATGACATTTGATAAAAACATTACATGGGAAGCATTTCAGACTGTGAGTGAGCAAGTTACCGGCTACTTTATATTTAACTTGTCTCCACATTCTACCCATTCCTGTCATTTTTCTAGAGCAGGTATGCTCTGTTCCTCTTCCTCCGACATTGATTTTGTCATTCTTTTACTTTTCTTTACAATTGTGAATCTTAAAGCTCTGCTGCATTTTTTTCAGTGTTTTGGATGCTTCAGAATTTATAGGGCCGTATGGAGTATTCTTGTTAACACAAAAGTAGTTTTTACTTGAATCACTACAACCACTATGTGCGTCCTAAAGGTCCCATGTTTTGACCATTTCTACTGATCATAATTCCATTGTTGAGGTATACTAGAATAGATTTACATTGTTCAATGTTCCAAACTCACATTGGTTTCTCATACAGCATCTCTGTATAGTATGTGTATTCACTCTCTGTCCTACACGCCTTGTTGGAGCTCCTGCCCCCCCCCCCCCTCCCTATGAGCCCACTGTGCTCTGATTGGTCAGCTCGCCCACTCTGTTCTGATGAGTCCACCACCGTTACAGCGGAACATCAGTGTTTATGTTTTACAATGGCGTTTGTTTGATAGCAACCAGAAAATGACACCAGTAATGACAAGTAGATGAGAATGCTGCGTGGGGTCTGGGTGCCGAGTTGGCAGGACGTTGCAGGACTCGCTGGTCCGCCCTGTGGGGCTCGAGAAGCGGACAGTGTGAGGTGGATTACTGGTGTTGTTTCCTAGTTGCTGTGTGGGGTCTGCGTGCCATGCCAGCGGACACGCGGGGTCCCGCTGGCATGGCACTTGGTCTATATCCAGCATCCAGGGAAACACAGCGGGAAATCCACCTCACGACGTCAATAGGCCCCGGAAGAAAGAAATGGAAAAAGAAAAATCTCCAACGAGGCGTTCTGGGGCAGCATAGACACGTCATTTCTGTGTTAGAGTTTTACTCGCTACAGGGTGTACTTTGAGGGTTTGTGACTTTGCAGACTGTTTACATGCAGAAAAAGCTACATAACACACAAGGGGACGGGTAATAACCAGAAAAGCATATGGTGGGACCTTTAAAGTATGTTTTTAAATCTAAAATGGTTTATGTCCATGTTTAATAGCTTGTAGTCTTTTTTCCTACATTTGTTGCCCCATTACTACAACCTGTTTATTATTGGAATGGTATAAAACTGCACAAAATGGCAGTTAGCTCAGAGAAAAAGACGGTGTTTGCTTTTTCTTGAGGTGGCGACGACAGGCACTCATGGCTAATGTGAAACATTGAAAAAAAGATGCTGCTGCTCAGGAAAAGGCTTAATGTGGATACAGGTCTTAACAGAGGAAGTTTGTTAGGAAAAGTAATAGGAAAATAAAACTCCACTTTACTTCGACC